CGCGCTCGCCGACCATGGTCTGGTACCCGTTGGGCAGCTTGGAGATGAAGTCGTGCGCGTTGGCGTCGCGGCACACCTGCTCGAGCAGCTCCTGCGTCACCACGAGCCCGTCGGGCGCACCGTACGCAATGTTCTCGGCAATGGTCGTGTCAAACTACATGTGGTACGACGAGCGTCGGTCAGTATCCGCTTCACGAAAGCATCGCCAAGTCCAAGTCGAGACAAGCGTACCAGAATGGGCTCCTGGCTGACCAGACCGACGTTCTGCCGCAGCCACTTGAGCGGCAGGTCGTTGATCGGGGTCGAGTCGATGAAGATGGTGCCCGAGAGCGCCTCGTAGTACCGCTCCATGAGCTGGATGCAGGTCGACTTGGCCGAGCCCGAGGCACCGACCAGCGCGACCGTGGTGCCGGCCTGGGCCGTGAAACTGATGCCCTTGAGCACCTCGACGTCGGGGCGCGACGGGTACGCGAAGCGCACGTCGCGGAACTCGACGCTGCCGTCGAGCTTGGCCGGGGTCACGGCGCCGTCGACAATGGTCGGCTTGCTCTCGGCGACCTCGAACAGGCGGTACCCGGCGCCGCGCGCCTTGGACATGGCCTGGAACGACGGCGACAGGTTGATGATCGAGAAGGCGCCCGTGGTGATGGCGAACAGGCATTTCTACGTGGTGCGGGAGCGGAATCGAGAGGGGTGCGCGCGTCAGTTGCAGTCCGATAGGTGATGCGAGTGAGAGAGGGCAAGTACCAGAACGTCGCCGCCGCCAACCTCGCCGCTCACGGCGAGGGTCGAGCCGTACCAGAAACCGATGCCGAACAGCAGGTACAGCAGGCCGAAAAAGACGCCGAACCCGGCGCCCGAGATCCACGCCTTCTTCTCGCCCTCCTTGACGGTGCCGGCGAGCAGCTTCGAGTACTTGCGGAAGGCGCGGTCCTGGCCGCCGAACGCGGCGACGGTGCGGATGTTGGCGAGGGCCTCCTGGGCAACGGCGCCCGCGGCGGCGTAGGCCTCCTGCGAGCGGCTGGCGCCCGCGGCAAAGGCCTTGCCGACGACGATGCCCGAGATGCCGAAGGCGGGCAGCGTCGCGATCAGGACGAGGGTGAGGCGCCACGACTGGGTGAAGGCGATGGCGAAGCCCGAGATGAACTGGATCGTGTAGGCAAACGCCTGCGAGGCCTTCTCGGAGATGCCCTCCTGGTACATGAGCGTGTCGGAGGTGAGCTGGGTGGTGAGGTCGCCGGCCTTGTGGGAGTCGAACCAGGCGAGGTCCTGGGCCATGACGGCGTTGATGAACTTTGTGCGGACGCGGCGGGCCTGGCGCTCGCCGGCCCACATCCACATGGCCTGCATCAGGTAGGCGGCGACCATGGTGCCGAGGCCGACGGCGACAAAGAAGATGACCTGGTCGATGACGCGCTTGCGCAGCGTGTCGAGCGCCGCGGCCACGACGGCGGGCGGCAGGCCGGGCGTCGCGCGCACGCCCTCGTACACGAGGAACGGCTGCACAATGTCGCCGAGGATCACGGACAGAATCGGGGTCAGCACGCCGTAGCCCGCGGCGCCAATGAGGCCGACAAGCATCAGCAGCTTGTCAGTCCCGTCGGCGTACTTGAACAGCTGGCCGAACGGAAGCACGTTGGCGGGCGGCGCGGCAGCGGGTGCGTCCTTGGCGGCGGAGTCGACCTTGGTCGTGTCGTCAGCAGCGGCCATGATGGGCTCGAGCGGGACGTCGTTCTTGGTATCAGCGGGTTGGGCAGCGGCCGTGTTGGCGGTGGAGGTGTGGTTGGGGAGGGACGAGGGCGGCGACGGGTTCGCGGGGACGGGGACCACGTCGGGATCGCGGGTAGAGACGGGCGAGTACTGCTGGGTACTGCCGGGGAGGAGGGCGCCGACGTCAGAGGTCGTCGCAGCGGCGGGAGCGGCAGCGGGGCCGAGGAGCGGATCGGAGGCGCGCGGAGGGCCGGTGGAGGGAGGATGGTCGCTGGCCATGGCGGAGGCGACGGCGGGGGCTCCGGGTTATAAGGACAGGGACGGGTGGGTGGGCAGCGGTGCTTGCGGTCGGGCTGTGGCGCAATCGGGGCGGCGATGAAAATCTGCGGTCGCGGGGGCGGTCGGGGGGTGGTGTCAGCACGCGAGGGTTCGGCGGCGGCAAGTGTGCAAGTGCATGTGCAAGCGAGGGGGGTGTAGTGGCGGCGGACGAGGGAGGAGAAGAGGGTTTCCGGGGGCGGCGGGCAGGCGGCGGGCAGGGCGGCAGGCGCGACGCGTCGGAGCGTGTGTCCGCGGCGGCGATCGAGAAGCCCTCTGAAGGCTTTGTCACGGCGCGGGAGACGCTTGCTTGCCGTGCGGCGCATCCCGGGCGTCGCGTCAGCGAGTCCTCGGGATCGGCCATCGGCGGCGTGCTCGGAACCCTGGATCGAGGGCCGCACGCATTTTTCCGCGGGCCGCACTCCGTGCGACACGGTGCAAGGGCCGGCAATCGGTTCCGCGGCTTCGGGGCGGACGGAAGGGGGCGACGGCGGGGGAGACCACGATGATGGACGCACATGTACGCCAGCGCTTGAGCACGAGTGGAGAGATGAGCGATGAGGGGTGGGTGGCAGGGCGTCGGACGTGGGCAACGACCAGGGCGGGGCAGCGCTCGCCTTTTGTAGACGGCGGCCAGCGCCCAAGGGTCAGCACCAGACCGTCCAAGATCGCGCCACGCAGTGCGTCATCCGCGCGGCGACCATCAACAACGGACGCGGCGCGTGCGTGTGCAGCGGCGGCCCCGAATGTACGTATTCTTCCGGATAACTGCGTTGAGTCAGCCGGAAGAATTGCAGCGCGGCGGCGCCCACAGGCTTGCGCGCTCCAGAAGCAGCATGGTGGCGCAGCTCTGAACAGGCCAGAGGGGTCGGTCGGCGGGAACCGGGAGGGCAGGCCAGGCGTGTCTCGCGGGTGTCTCGCACGGCGACGCGGTGCGCCGTGATAGCGACGCGTCAAGAGTCACGTTGCGCGTGCCGCATCGGAGAAAGTCGCGTGTCGCGTGGCGCGTGCTCCGATCGCCTCGCTCTGCGTTCTCGCCCCCTCCCCGTCCATGGCTCGGCTCCCGTCCCCTCTCTCCTCGCTCCACACGCACCCAACAATACCCCACACGCACTACCATGCATCCTGCTCTGTTGCGCTCGGTCGCCTGCCGCGCCCTGCGCCCCCACGCCGCCGCCGCTGCCATGCGTGCTGCTGCGGCCCCTCGCCTCGCCACGCTCGCTGCAGCAACCGCCGCCGCCGCCGCTGCCGCTGGACCGGCGCGAGGCTTCTCGACCACGCCCGCCGCGCTCGCCGGCAACAAGGTGCCCAAGCCGACGGCGCAGCGCGACACGTCGCTCACGCGCAACCCGGCGTTCAAAGCGCTGACCGACGCGGACGTGGCCCACTTCAAGTCGATCCTGCCCGCGAGCGCCGTCGTGCACGCCGCCGACCCGGCCCACGACGACCTGCTGCCCTACAACATGGACTGGATGCGCAAGTACCGCGGCCAGGCCACCGTCGTGCTCAAGCCGCAGTCCACGGACCAGGTCGCCGCCATCATGCGCTACTGCTCCGCCAACCGCCTCGCCGTCGTCCCGCAGGGCGGCAACACGGGGCTCGTCGGCGGGTCCGTCCCCGTCTTCGACGAGGTGGTCGTCAACCTGTCCAACCTCAACAAGGTGCGGTCGTTTGACCCCGTCAGCGGCGTCGTGGTCGCCGACGCCGGGTGCATCCTCGAGGTCCTCGACAACTACGTCGCCCAGCGCGGCCACATGATGCCGCTCGACCTCGGCGCCAAGGGCAGCTGCCACATTGGCGGCAACGTGGCCACCAACGCGGGTGGTCTGCGCCTGCTGCGCTACGGGTCGCTGCACGGGTCCGTCCTCGGCATTGAGGCCGTCCTCCCCGACGGCACCGTGCTCGACAACCTGACCTCGCTGCGCAAGGACAACACGGGGCTCGACCTCAAGCAGCTGTTCATTGGGTCCGAGGGCGTGCTCGGCATCATCACCGCCGTCGCCGTGCTGACCCCGGTCCGCCCGCGCGCCACCCACGTCGCGACCCTGGCCGTCGACGACTACGCCGGCGTGCAGGCCGCCTTCCTCGCCGCGCGCCGCGACCTCGGCGAGACGCTGTCGGCCTTCGAGTTCTGGGACACGGCCGCGAGCGAGCTCGTCGAGTCGCACCTCCCGTGGCTGCGCAACCCGCTGCGCAAACCAAAGTTCCAGATCCTCATCGAGACGGCGGGCGCCGACGCCGACCACAACACGGCCAAGCTCGACGCGTACCTCGAGCAGCTGCTCGAGAACGGGGTGGCCGTGGACGGGGCCGTAGCGCAGGACGGGACGCAGAGCGCGGCCATGTGGTCGATCCGCGAGTCGATCCCCGAGGCGTGCTCCAAGGACGGCGCCGTGTTCAAGTACGACGTGTCGATGCCGGTGCCCGTGCTGTACGAGCTGGTCGAGGCGACGCGGCAGCGGATGCGCGACCTCAAGGTCCCCGGGGTGCGCAGCGTGATCGGGTACGGCCACGTCGGCGACGGCAACCTGCACCTCAACGTGTCGGCCGACGACTACTCGCCCGAGGTCGTCAACGCGCTCGAGCCGTTCATCTACGAGTGGGTCGCGCAGCACCGCGGGTCCATTTCCGCCGAGCACGGCCTCGGGCTCATGAAGCCACGGTTCCTCCACTACTCCAAGGACGCCGTGTCGATTGCCACCATGCGCGCCGTCAAGCAGCTCTTCGACCCGCACGGCATCATGAACCCGTACAAGTACCTCCCCGACGCCCCCGCCACCACGGCCGCGGCCCCGCTCACGCAGACGGCGTCGACCAAGTAAATCGGCGCGGTTGCGTCGTGTGTGTATGCGAGTACCCGAGAATCGAATCTTTTTGTGTGACCATGACCTGCCCATCGCGCTGTGCTCTCTCCGTCGCGTCGTCGACGGGGGACTGACGTCCAACGCCGACAGTGATCCAAAACGAAAAGAAAGCACCCACCGCGGGACTCGAACCCGCAACCCTTGGATTAGAAGTCCAAAGCGCTAACCATTGCGCCAGGCAGGCCTGATTCGGGGGCCACTATTACCGTATATGATCTGCGTCTGACTCCCAGCCAAAGTAGCGCGTGTGTCCGCGGACAGCCTGTGCACACGGCCACCGCGACCCGAGAGCCTCCTGAAAGTGGCCCGCCCGACCCGAATGAACTTTCACGCTTGCCTTCCACGCTGACTTGAGTTGTTGGGGATCCTCGCCCTGCACCTCATGCGCGCGTCGGGAAAGCGGGGCCGCGTGGGCCCGAGGCGGCGGATCCTCGCGCGGGTCGCGGGCCGCCACTCGCATCGCGCGCGGGGTGACCGCTCGCCGACCCCACTTTGTTGCCGACCTGCTCGCTTCCCCTCTCCCCCCGAGGAACCACCCGCCCCCTTGCTACGCAACTCCACGCAACGTGCGCGCGCCACTCGCCGCACTCGATCCGATCCAGCCCCTTGCCCCAACACCGCCGCTCGCACGCCCCCGACGCCGAGCTTTCGTCGCCAGCGCCCCGGGTCGACCCATCCTCTCTCTCTCCTCCTCGCTTCGGGCACCCTCGATCCGTTACCATGTACTCGCGCGCCGCCACGTCCCGCGTCCACCTCCTGGCGCGCTCGCTCCGCCCGTCCATGGTACCCGCAACCATAGGTGGCCGCCCCGACTCTCGACCGACCCCCTCACGCGGCCCATCCCGTCCCCCGTGCGTCTAGTCGTTCTCGACGTCGTCGGCTGCCGCGCAGGCCGCGTCCGCGCCCGCCGCCAGCAGCAGCAGCACGCTCGAGGTGCTGCAACGCAAGAACCTCGGCGGCCGCATCTTCACCTTCAACCGGCCCGCCGTCTACAACGCCCTCAACCTCGACATGATCCGCACCATGACCCCGCAGCTGCAGGCCTGGGAGTCGAGCGACATGTGCAACGTCGTCATCCTCAAGTCCGACCACCCCAAGGCCTTTTGCGCCGGCGGCGACGTCAAGAGTACGTTTCTGCGCTCTTGGAGGCGCGCAACTAGTCGTGTACTCACGTCGTCCGTGCATCCGTCTAGCGCTCGTCGACCACATCAAGCGCGGCAACCCCGAGCAGGCAACGCAGTTCATGAAGGAGGAGTACGCCCTCAACCACCTCATCGCCACCACCCCGAAGCCCTACGTTGCCCTCATTGACGGCATCACCAGTACGTGCCCTTGCTCGCAACGACCCCAAACCCGCGCCCTAACCCAAACTCTCGTGCGTAGTGGGCGGCGGCGTCGGCGTGTCGGTGCACGCGCCCTTCCGCGTCGCGACCGAGAAGACCATGTTCGCCATGCCCGAGACCGCCATCGGCCTGTTCCCCGACGTCGGCGGCACCTTCTTCCTGCCGCGCCTCGACGGCGAGCTCGGCACCTACCTCGCCCTGACCGGCGCGCGCCTGACGGGCAGCGACGTGGTCGCCACCCGCATCGCCACCCACTACGTGCCGTCGGAGCGCCTCCCGGCCCTGACCGAGCGCCTGTGCGAGCTCGAGGTCTCGGACTGGGGCGTCGTCAACGCCGCCATCGAGGAGTTTGCCGAGCCCGCCGGCCCCGCCTCCATTGACGCCCACCGCGCCGTCATCGACAAGTGCTTCAAGCACGACTCGATCGACGCCATCCTCAAGGCCCTCGAGCAGGACGGCTCTGACTTTGCCAAGAAGACGCTCAAGACCCTCCAGGGCATGTCGCCGCTCTCGCTCCACCTCACCCTGCGCCAGGTCCGCAAGGGCAAGGACCTCGACATTGCCTCGGCCTTCCGCTTCGAGTGGGGCCTCGTCAACAACATCATGGTACGAGCTCTGCCCTCTGCGGCCCGCGGAGACAGCCACGGATCTGACTCGTTTGCCCGCGACGTAGCGCCACCCCGATTTCGTCGAGGGCGTGACGGCCAAGCTCGTCAACAAGCCCGCGACCGAGCCGCAGTGGGCGTCCAAGACCATGTCGTCGGCCGACATGGACGCGCTGGTGGAGCCCGCGTCGACGCTGGCGCCGCTGCCGCTGCTGCGCGCGTCGACGTACGACGCGTACCCGCACCGTTTCCTGGCGCTGCCGAGCGAGGCCGACATCCGGTCCGTGGTGCGCGGCGAGGAGCCCGCGGTCGGCGACTACGCGTTCGAGTCGCGCGAGGCCGTCGAGCTCTGGTTCGCCGAGCACTGGCCCCTGCGCGGGCTCGTGGCCGACGGCATCGCCGACCTCAACGCCATGCGCCGCAACGTGACCGCCGACGCCCAGCCGCTGCAGAACTTTGAGATGCAGGTCGGCGCTGGCAAGATCGGCGTCCGCGAGCACGTCCGCGCCGTCGTTGACCGGTGCTGCACCGTCGACGAGGCCAACGGCGTCAAGTGGACGTACAACCCTTGAATTTGTCCTTGCTCGCTCCACCTCCCCTCCCTCCCCGTAACGTAAAATCAGCAATAAGATCCTGTTCCACCCCCTCACACTACGCATACCGGGCCCGCTTACTGCTTGATCCCGGCAAATCATCGTCATCGTCGCCCGCGCCGCGACCCTGATTCTCAGCCTCGATCTGGCGCAGCAGCTCCTCGTCGTTGGTCACGATGCCGTGCACGCTGCGCCCGCGGCGGTCGCGCAGCAGGTCCTCGGCGACGCGCAGGTCGAAAAGCGTCTCGCGGGTCTTGCGCGAGATGCGCCACCGCATGCCCGGGAACGGGTTGTGGTTGAAGGCCAGGGCGCGCTCGAGGTCCGGGTCGTCGGTCAGCCGCGGCGCCGACTCGTCGTCGTCGTCCGACGCGTGGCCCGGCGCGTGCCCCGAGCGCCGGTCGCGGAAGGCCTCGGTGCGCACGATGGCGGCGTGGCGCGAGCTAGGTTTGGTGGGTACGTGTGAGTGTGGTGGTTGCGGAGATGTGCGAGGAGGAAGCGGGCGTACGATTCGCCCAAGTCGACTTCAGGGATCGCGGTGAGCATGGACGCGGACGCAGTCACGCTGCCCTCGGCGACTTCGGAGCGCGCGACCCGCAGGTGTTCGGGGATCGCAAACAGCTCATCCTCCATGGACGCGACCGTTGCCACGGGCTTCTTGCTGGTCTCGGGCTCGGTCGCCTTGCCGCGGCGCTTGGCGAGCTCCATCTCCACAAACCGTTCCCTGGACGATGCGCGTCAGTGACACAGCTCCACCACCCACAAAGCAATCAAGCGCGTACCGGTGCTTGGTCGCGTCCAGCGTCTTGTTGGTCCCCGTGAACGCGGGCAGGTACCCCTCGCCGCCGCCCGCGTTCGGGTCAACGAGCCCGTCGTGGCGGATGGCCTCGAGCTTGGAGATGTCCTCGGCCGACGCGGCGCTCGCGGCCTTCCTCGCAGCGGCGGCGGCCTCGAGGACCGATGCGGGCTGCAGCAGCATCTCGGCGTCGAGGCCGCGGGCGCGCGCCCGCACCTTGCGGGCCTCCTTGAAGTCGGCCAGCAGGTCGAGGGACCGGTCCTCGGCGACGCCCGCGTCGCCGTCCGCACTAGAGGCGGAGGGCGACGTGTCGTCCAAGTCGGCCGATGGCTTCTTGCGTAGGTTGGCCCCGCGCGCCTTGCGCTTCAGCTTTGGCAGCGCGGCGGGCGCGGGCGCGGGCGCAGGGGACTCGGCGCGTGTAGGCGACGCGGATGGATTGGTCGATGTCATGATGCGGGTGTCGTTGCAATAGGTCAAGAGTTACATGGAGCGCTGTGCGCTGTTAGGGGTTGAGTGAGCGGGAGCGACGTCGTCGACAAGGCCCGAGGCCCGACGCTCAGCACAGCGCTCCTCCCGAACTCCACTTCCATGAAGCTCACGTCAAACACCAACATGGAAGCTGATGCATCGGAGGACACGGCCATCGTTTATGAAGATGCCCATGTGCCGCGTGCCTTGTCGGTTCTGACGGCGGCCAACACGGCCGTCGGGGTAGGCCGACCCGCACTCCCTCTTATGACACCGACTACTCGCGAGATCTGCTCGTAAACCACTCTTGCACGAGCAACGGCAGATTGAAGCCCTTGTGAGTGCCGCTACAGCTGCCTTGGCGGCGTTGCGCATACCGTTTGACAAGTCTTCGAATTGACGTCCATGGGCGGCTCTGCGCACCTCGGCTTCTTCTTTGTTGATCTCCCAGGAGAGATGGTTGTGTGGTCCGGCTTACGCTACACGAGAGCACCCAGTGAAGCGAGCCGCCCAGCGGCCGTTCTTTGTGCTTCTCCCGGCGCAGCTACGCCAGCTGCTTGAGCTTGAGCCTGACATCAACGTCGTCTGGGCCGCCAGCGTGTGCGAGTGCTTCTATAATTACTTGACTAACGGCAGCCACATCCGCGACGCCGTTATCTTGAAGGCCGCTCGCCACTCTTGACGGGCATGGCTCGCCATCGACTGGTCCGTGCTCCGGATCCAACGCCTTCACCGCGGCTGCAAGGTCAACGACGGTGCCCCTTGATAGTTTCGCTTGAACACGTCAAGGGCCCTGTCGACATGAAAATTGGCACGTTCGTTGATATCGTCGTCGCAGCTGAGCACGAGCGCGAGGGGATCCAGGCCGCCGCGGCCGACTTGGAAGTCGCTGATGCGGACGACGGTCACTAGTCGCTCACCGTGTAGTGAAATTCTCATCCAGTCAGTTTTGAACCGCACTGTTGCATTTAACGAATTCTATTGTTCATTCATCGTGCGAATCAACGGAGTCATTGTCCGGATCATCGTCTTCGTCGGGATCATCATTGCCATCCTCGTCTTCGTCGAAACCATCATCGCCATCCTCGTCGTCGTCCTCGTCCGCCTCGTCCGAGGTGAAGTCAGACTCGAGCGCCGCGTCCTCCTCGACCCCGTCAACAGCGACAGCGGGCTGCATCGCCTCGGCGAGCCCGCGGACCTTGGCGACGACGCGCGTCATCGCGACTGGGTTCGCGGTGACGGCGCGGCGGAGGACCGCCATAACGCCGGGCGTCCACGCGACGCGGCTCAGGACGTGCCGCGCCTGCGCGTGGTGCGGGTCATCGTGACGCAGGGTCCCCGCGACGGCACGCCGGACCACACCCTCGTCGTCAAAGCGCTCG